CTGCTGTACTGGCCCCTATACCAGCCAGAGATTTGCTCGATGTGGAAACCCTGTTGGCTGATTTAAGTCATCTGCGTGGTGTGGCCAAGAATTTGGTTCAGACTCTTCTTGCTGGACCGCACTGAACGGCAGCTCCCAAGGCATAGCTAGCGATGGGGGCTTGTCAACGAGTCTGTTCCAAGCAGGACAGTTCTCATTTTGATGCTGTAAAATGCAGCTTGTCGAGAGCAGGAAGACATAGCAAGCCCTTACATTTCAGAGCTGCTTTTCTCTTCCACTCCCTCTCAACTTCGCTGCCCCAACAGCTGACAAACATGGTGGTGTCATCTAGTGGACTCACGTAAGGAAGGATTTTACCCTTTTCATTTAATTTTGGTCAATGTATTTTAATTGTCATGTATTATAGAATCAAATAGAATATCTGTTGGCTTTTGCAAGACTGAAGAATAAGAAATTAAGTCATCTGAACCATTTAAATGGACTTTTATTTATTTGTACCTATTGGGGCCGCTAGATTTTTCCACTGCTTATGATGTTGGCTATTGCAATTAAGAGGGCCAGAAATAAAGTTGCAGATTAAAAGGTTTAAGCTTTCCTAATATTCTGGGTTACTTAGAGGGGCTGAAGGAATCTTGTGCGATTTTAAGCACTTCACATATTCTTAAAAAGTATTTTGTGGTTTTTCCCCCCCAAAAGAAAGTTTTAAAATCATACATATGATTTTATGACTGGTCTGGAACGGTTAGACAGGGATTACCCGGCCCTGGGTAGGGGTTGGACTAGATGACCTTTGCGGGTCCCTTCCAGCCCCATTTCTCTACGATTCTGGGATCTGTAGTTGCTATAGTAACTATGACGAGATGCTCATTTAAGGAAAAGGAATCCTTCTGCAGGTTTTTGCCAGTGGTTGAAGTCCATGTTAATGGTCTGAAGTTGGTTGACACACTTCTAATTTATTAACGTTCAGCTTCTACCTTGAAAGACCACTGGGATGTTGACAGTTTCAACTAAAGGTGAAATTAAATTAATAGTGTGCGACTGCGACGGCGATTAGGTCATCTGAAGATAGCGTTACTTTGCGCTTGCTCTTGTCTGCTGGAGCCTTTTGAACTAAAAACAGTTGGAAAAAATAACCCGGAGGTCATCGAGAAGGTTGCTAGTAGCAAACCACGCTCTGGCGACACGTGTTCCTGTAGACGGGGCAGCTTATAACCACTGAGGTTGTGGATTGCGTGAACGTTTTCCCAGGGCGCTGAACATTAGGGTCCGAAGATATAAAAGTAACTAAGTACCTTTCCATTTATTCAGATATGCTTGAGGTAAGGCACCAAAGAAGTGGGAAAAGCAGTGGGAGAGGTGGATTTATACTGACAATCTTACTTAAGAAGCCTTCTTTCTCCTTATTGTTTGTTTAATCCACTGAACTGGGAAATTAACCTCTAAAAGAAGCGGATCTAAAAAAACCCCTAGCTAAATAAAAATGGTAAGTTTGTTCTTCAGACTTGGGCATTGGCTCTAGATAAATAAAGAAGTAATTCTTCATCCGTGTATAAAATCAGCGGCAGGATCTCTCGCTATGATAAACACTGCGCAGGCATGCTGGGGAAGTTGCTTTTCATCTGGCGAACGATACCAGGAGGCCCCAGGTACTGGGAACCCGGCAAGGTCACAAACGGTTTGAATGCACAGTCTAACTCCTTCAGAGAAACCCACGAGTTGAGTTTGCTTTTCCTTCAGACTTGTTTCTAAGAGCTGCAGCATCTAGGGAAACTATAAATAGCTAGATTCCTAACTGGATTTTATTTCCTTATTTATATATTTTATTTACACACTCCTGCACCCAGTTCTAGCACAGACACCAAAGAAATCTGTTATGACCTGTCAATACAAATACGAAATATGAAAGAAAGGGTTAAACATAACGGACCTGAGGCTTCCTGAGAGCGGACTAAAGCAGCCGCTCCCGTCTGGGTGCTGGAGTTAATTGATGGTTCAAACATCTGTTCTTTGTCAAGACGGAGATGAGGAGAGGAACGGGTTCTGGGGGACAGCGAGCAGAGCAAAAGTTTCTATCTGTGCAACTGCTCTGAAATCCCAGGAGGATTAGCAGCAAGGCCCACCCGAAATGGTCTGCATTTAGCTTCTGGGATACAAGACATTAATGCTGGCGACTTTAAAGCTAAAGGGCTTCCAGGGGAAAGGTCCAGGGAACAGGCGAAAGAAACAGGCAATATATTAGAAATAAGTCGAGGGTAAGAAGGGAGGAGATGTTTCTTGGCAGCTGCATAAAACTCAGTGGTATCTTGACCTGCATTTTTTTAGCGGACTCCCCTGCGCCCAGTTTTGGCCACTTCTGTTCAAGGTATACAAGACTCAGAAAACTGTGAATCTGTGTCAAATTTCTCTCCCATTGGGAAAATTACCAATTGCAAAGCCTCAAAATCTGTTATCATTCAGCAAAGAGGCACCTCTAAAAGGTAGCGGCCTATCCTCCTAAGTAAAAGGAAAGATTAAGGGAAAAGAAAGACAAATTGATAGAGTAAGGTATGGGCATATGAAGCTCTGTGTAAGAAAGTCAGCCATCAAGGTATGGATTTAACTGTTTCTGGATGATATTACTGCCACTAGCAGTCCTGTTTTCTTCAAGGATACAGGAAACCTCATTCAGGATGTTCAGACAGTGGAAATGCCTGCTTCGGGAGAGATCTCTGCAAGTCCTAAGACTCTGATATCTGTCAAGCAGGCAGGAAAGTGCACACTAGTCCTTGAAATCTCTAACATGATATTAGGACATAGAAAGGAGAAAGCCAATATTGCTCTACAATTGTATGTAATATTGCTATATGACTGTACTTGGAGCTAAAAGAGGCTTTTAAAAAAAAGAAGATAACTCAGTCTGTCTACTAATTTAACTGTCTACAAATTAAATATCTTCCATGTTTGGATGCATATGCATCTCATGTATGACCCTGCACTGGTACAGGCTGGGGGTCAACCGGCCAAGCAGCAGCTCTGCAGAAAAGGACCTGGGGGTGACAGTGGGCAAGAAGCTGAACAGGAGCCGGCAGCGCGCCCTTGGTGGCAAGAAGGCAAATAAAGAGGATGGAGCTGGACTGTCCTCACTGGGGGCAGATAGCAGGACAAGGAGCAATGGGCTCAAGTTGCAGCAAGGGAAGTTGTGGTTGGATATTAGGAAAAACTCTCTCACAAGGAGGGTGGTGAAGCACTGGAACAGGCTACCCAGAGAGGTGGTGGACTCTCCATCCTTGAAGGTTTTTAAGACCCGGCTGGACAATGCCTTGGCTGGGATGAACCCTAGTTTTCTATGATTCTATAACTCAATTGGCATCGCTTTTCACAGGAAGATTTCACTATTTTTGATAAAAATTCCTATTCTTGGATTTAGCTCCATCTTAGGATTTTGTTGCACACAGTTCACTAAAAAGCTGAACACCTTTCCTGTATCCACTGTAGATAGGCCCTGAAGTCCATCACGGCATGCAAAAACCCAGCCATGTGGGCCCTTTACTTTGATATCATAATATTACCAAGATGTTGAAGAGTGAAAGCATAGGTCATCTGCCAACCTGGCTCTGCAGTGAAAGCCCTGTCTTTGTAGCCATCTAAGTTTTCATCTGTCATCTAAAATATTTTCTTAAACTCCACTGCCCGGATCCACTCTGTTGCACCAATTTTCTGCCAAATTATACAATGAAGCATCAGGCTCTACAGGGAAAATCTCATTGATATTGAAATTATTCTCAAATGCAAACTATGGTAGATGCTATTGTTTATAGAAAAGTACCAATTAGTGTCTGGGAAAATTAATATTTTGAGATTTTTCTATTGGGTTTCTCCAAGAGAAATTGTAATTGGATATCTAGACAAAAGGGAGTTATAAAAGGAGAGAAGGAGGGAGAGAGAAAGCTCAGCAACATTATTAAACATCAGGTAGAACGACAAAATACAATTGTTGAAAACAATGTCCTCAGATAAAAGGATCTACTTTTGGCAAGGACATAAATCTCTGCAGATATTGGGCCAATGTTTGGACAAGGGACAGAATCAATGGGTACCAATTGTTTGAGTTTAATCTCAATAACTGTGCAGTAATTTGAGATATAACAACATTTCACTGCAGAGGCCAAAAGGAAAACAAGGAAACTCATACATGTAAAAATATGCTATTGTGAATTAATTATTCTTAATTTTTTTTTTTTTTTTTTTTACAGTGTGGCCCACGTCAACAAAAAGATTTTCATATGGATTATTTCCACTGCCACTGCAATCACATGAATTACTTCTCCTTACATCTGTGATTGTACCACATGCTAGGGAAACTACAGCAACTGCTTTCAACAAAACAGCAATGATAGGAAGCAATTCACATTTTTAGCTTCTTTTAATGTGATGTAAATAGTTGGAGAGAGAGGAAAGCCAACACCTTGTGATCAGCAACATCTTCAAACTGCCATCATCTGCTGTGCCGATCACATCACCAGTGAGCCACGGACTACGATTTGAGAACATCTGATGCATGTTCATAAGATGTCATTAAAAAAATTAAAGAGAATGTAGGAACGAACTAAGGTTATTCCTGATATGCCTGGAGTTTTTCCAGGTGTCCCAGAAGTAATTACAAGATTCAGGGAAGAGCTGTCCCATCCACATGTCTGATCTGAGCTTTGGAAAAAAGGACATAAAGACTGCGCTCAGAGACTCCACTCCAGGGTTTCTGGGAGACCCCGGTTCGCAATTATTTCGGTATACCTAATCCGGATCTCAGCGTACACTGATGAGGCGCCCCCTGGTCGGGAGGTACATGCACACTAACTTCACCGCGTAATAAAATCACAAGTGGTCTTGGCAGGAAACGGCTTCCATCGTAACCCACCTACACAAGAATATGTCCTGGGGACTTTGACATGGATTTTAACTCACTTCGCAATTTCGTTCTAAAACAAGTGTTTGCCTTATTTTGAAAAGGAAGATTTCCCTATGGGCAAGACGCACTACATGGGTGAGAAATCTTCATGAAATATCTTTCTGAATGAAATATAGTAAGAAAAGGCATGTCTACATGTGAGACATCTCTTTGGGGCAGGATAGATGCCACAAAGAAAACACTGTACCCCGGTGTGAAAAATAAATACTATACGTTTCCTCTACTATTAAAGTTGCAATAAAAATGAAAAGGAAAAATAAGGAAACCTCATTATTAAACACAAGTTTTTAAAAAGTAGGAACTGCATTTATACTCAGAGTTTGTCTTACTTTGAAAGTTTTCTGTTTGAATGGTATGTTTCCATCCTGTGTTAGATTAAGCCTGAGAATTCAGACCATGTTGGTAACTCTAGAAATATGTATAGATAACTCTGAAAATGGAAACTATTTCTGTGCTTAGAAGAAATTCTGTGGGAGTGAATGTGTTCACAGCTTCCAGGCCAGGAAGACTGACCCTTCCAGATCTTTAAAAGGTTGCAGAAAGACTGTAAAAATCAAATCAAACAAAAATAGATCGAGACTTACAGTAAAGCTGCTCTGAAAAGAAGCTGAAAGACTAAAGCCTGGTGGGTGAACATACATGCATGCACAAGAAAAGGCATTTAAAAAGTACATTACAAACTTAATATGACAGTATTTACTTTTTCTCTCTCCGTCTCATTTCCAGCTCATTCTTATCAGAGTCCTGTCAGTCCCAAAACTGACATTTTCCTGTCCTGATCATTCCTGAGATAGTGGACAGGGATTTTTTTTTATTAGGTTGATGCAAACAGCAGATGATCCTACAGAGGAACGTCAAGGACAGTTTGGAGTCCTAATCCCTGACCCTCCTGCCCTTTCCTAACTAGCTATTGACATTGAACTTAAAAAGCTTCAATGGCGAGACGAGATAATGAATTCTGTTTGCTTTTAGTGCAAAAAGGGAAGAGGTCCAGAGTGGGAGAAATGCAACAGCTCTCGCAGGAAAGGTTCTGCTAATGTGTTAGTATAACTTAAATCTTCTTAGACCTGAAACCTGTTTAGCAATAAATAAAATTCAGGAAAAGTAGATGTTGTTCTCCTGGAATATATGTTGGTGGGAGGGAGAATATTATTTAGAATAAGATGTTCTAACTTTTTTGACACCCCAACTGATAAACTTGGCAGAATTTCATCCTGATTATCTCATGAGAAATATTCTGGGCTGAAAAACTCATTAGTTCTCTATATTACATTCTCTATATTCCTGCATGTTGGTTTGATTTTTTCATTCTATTTTTTTTTCTTCCCTTTCTTTGCCTGTTTTTCTCATTGAGACAAGACCTCCATAAAAATCTCTTACTATAATGGACCATTTCTGATAAACACAGGAAGCACTGATTTCTTACTGCTCAGCAGTTTAGCAGGAATACCTTTCCACTCAATGGGTAGATAGTCTGAGGAACAGGAGGTTACTAAGATCAAATATTTCAGTAAATAATGACCAATCTAGGGTTATAAAAGTAAATCAAACCAAGAATTTTGGGGACAAAACCCCTCAACACTAGTTTAACCCTGCTGGGGATTAGCATAACATTTGCATGGAGGCAGATTATACCACCTCTCTCTGCTGTACAATCTTTGCCCCCTTTTTTTAAGGCCATGTGAATTAGGATGGTAATATGGTCCCTTATTCCTACAGGTTTTGTTTTCAGTCCTGGAGGTCTTTCCTCCCGACTGTCCGTCTCTCCGGGAGTCGCAGAATGACAGCAGAAAAGAGGTGCTCATTTGTGAGCACTGGCAGAGGTCAAGTCAAGGCTAATGCTGCAATGAGTTTAGGAAAAACTTGGTTTAAGCAAAACTGGAGAGCATTAATTCACCTGTCATTTATTTAAGGCATACGAAGAAGGGAAGGCTCGGCTGCGGCAGGGAGCCAGTATCAGTCGGGGTGAGCCAGAGGAAAGGCGTGACAGTTTCACATGTTGGCCGCTCTCCTTCCGGCGGGCGCTTGGCAGGCGCACCCCTGTCTTCAGCCTCCTCTTTCTGAGGATGACGACTCATACGTACTGGCTACTCAGAATCAGGTACAACTTAATACCAAGGGCATTTTAAATGGTCTTCAACCCTTGTTTAGTCTGAGAAGGAACTAATTAGGATGACTAACGATCTCCTGATGTAGTCAGCTGACAGTTGATCATTTTGGTCACAGCGGACAATTTATTGACTCATGATCTTTGCTGGCGAGGAGCTGCTTCTGGAAGGAAATGAAACAGCTTGTGTGTCTTGACCTGTCCTCTGCTTGGTCGACATTATCGTGGGCTCTCACCACTCAAGGACCACTTTTATGCTGATCAAAATGAATCAGAGCATGGAGGTTACGTGCATGCATCTTGCCCGCCTAGCTTGGTCTCTGTCCCGGAGAAGTATTTACATATTGATGCTGAATAGCCTGAAGGAGACTCATTATTAATTCAGACAATCACCTTCATTTTGCTAGTGAATTATTTTTTTAACAAGTGCTTTGCGGGTCTTTTCCAACAGGTTTCTTACTGACTTTAGACGTACAATTAGTAGCGCTGAACTGACCTGGCCATTTCCATAGATATAGTGCCAAACGTGTATTTAGCTACAACATTTTCAGCTTCATCTATTGCAAAACCAGCCCATGACACTGCTGCCGTCCTCCTTTCATTCAAGTACCTCCTCATATTCACTTCTGCTACTGTACCTTTAAGAAGCATTAAATTAGCGAACAACCCACCCAAATCATCATGGTCCACGTGTGGCTACATTGAGCATTCATTACTCCTGTAAAACTTGTTCTTCCTCACCCTTCCTCCACTTTCATGTGCCAGCTCGAAAATCTAAACCGCGACGTCTTTAGGTTAGAGAGCTTTGCACACTTTTGGTCACTGTAAATATATTAAAATAAAACAAACTGTGCTCTTATGACCTTGAAGATTCAGTATTAAAATAAAGGTCTCATAAATAGGCTTTGGATTGGCCAACAGTGGCTACATCCTTTATTTTCCCTACTTTGCACTCATCTGTTGGTGATTTGACAGCAAAACTCAAAGCAGCCCTAGTAAATACATTGCATCACGCTGGAGATGGCCTGATAACATCTAAAGCAGCCACTCTTGGCAGTCGGAGGCAGGATACTGGGCTCGACGGACCGTGGGTCTGACCTAGTACAGCACTTCTTAAGTTCTCCAAACAATTCCCCAGCACCAAGGAGGACGGAAAAATTGATGCAGTGGTGTTTAATCACTGATTTTATAAAATGCTGCCCACTGCAGAGCAAGCCTTTGTGATCATCTGGTTTCACTTGCTGCACAACACAAACACGAGGGCTTTTCTTGAACCCTTTCCCATTTTTTTAAAACTGTGAATCTATGATCAGGACAGACACTAGCAGTCTCACCAGAAGTACACACCACACAGTGACACCCCTCTATTCTGATTTAATATCCAAGTATAGCTGGTATTTAAATGTGGAAGGGATTATTCAGCTGGGTAATCATGACCCCATAGTCTTTGCAGCCAGTATTTCCCAGGATATAGTCCCCCATCCTATAGTCGTAACCTGCATTCTTGATTCCTACAAACTAATGGATCAATTTAAGAAATGGTCCTGTTGATTGCTGAAAACCTAAGAAGGGGTTTTATCATATTTTAAATGCTCATCGAAACTCCCCATTACAAAAACCCTGTCCTGATATCGCACCATTCCTAGTTTTCTATTAGATGCTAAACAGGAAAACAAACCAGCTTTTGTTACTGTGTCCCCAAAACATCCAATTTCGTCTCTCTTCCCACCTCAAAAAATGTTGAAATTCTACTCTGTCACCAGTGATTTTTATTTTACCTGATGTTGTTCTTCTTGATCGAAAACGATGTGCATCTATTTTTATATATATGGTAAATTTGATGTTTTAATATTATACCCTTTTAAATTAGACATCAATTGATGGTGTAGCAACCTAAGAAAGTTGATGCAGGGGCCGGGGGGAGAGGCAAGGCTGCTTGTAAATTCACAGCGAATCTATATTTCCGAGAGTCCATCACTAAGGGATTTAGTACAAACAATAACATTATTGTCCCTATGGCCATATCTACCTGAAGAAAGGACAACGCCTCCAGCTCAGTGTTAAAATGTGGATATTGGGATGCTGCAGAGCGGCTGGTCCCGCGTACTGCGGAGACGGCAGCCAGCACTCGGACTGCCGGGAGAAATCACACCGGAGCCAGGGAGATTTCAGGGCTCCTGCACAGGACGAACTGTGAAGAGCTGCACAAGGAACGATGTCCTTGTGTAGTTAAGTTACATAACAGTCCTTTCCCTTCTTCGGAGGCTGAACAGATAACGAGTCCCATCATCCCTTTTTGTGTTTCCAAGTAATTTTGATTAGTACCATGAGTGAGGCCAAATGAAAAACCAGAAGGGAGCTGAGGCATGACGAGACGTACTGATTCCTAGTGACACCATTGAAAGAACTGCTTCATCAACTTATTAAAAAGTATTTACCCATTTTGGGCATGTTTACCTTTTTCTACCAATCATATAGACAGGCTGGACTTCATCTCCTGTTTCCGTGATACAGGCGCCTATTCAAGTAAAAAATTAAAAAGTATGAAGAATCAGCTCCGCTAAAGTCAATGGGAGCATCATCCTAAAAGCTAAAATTAGTTTTGATTCTGTTAAATGGATCTAAATAAGAGAAGTAATTAACTAAGCATCTGTTGCCTGGGTTAGCGGCAGAGGCTGGTTTACGCAGAAGTCTGATGAAACCTTGAGACACGGCTCGGGGGGCGGCAGAGGTGTGTCCCGGTCTATCGGCAGATGCCCCCCAACGGGACGCAGGTTTCAAAACCAAGGCGACAAAGCACCGATTTCCAGAGGTGCAGCTCCAGATTGACTTGTCCTAACAACAGCAGACGGAGATGGTGCAGTTGGGATTCAAATCATATGGGAGCGGGGGAGAAGTAGAGAGAAACAACTGAGCTTTTTCACATATGATCTTTTGGTTTGAAATGGTTATTTGTCAGCTTTCTTCATGCCCTGACATATCTATCCACCCCTACAAAAGAAAACCCAATGCTGAAATACAGCTCGCTCTATCATCTCCCCCCAGACCCCCTGATCAGCATAATTCATGGTAAAGAGGGAGAAAAATATGCCTCCTCCTATGGATGTTTCATCGGGCTTCTATGAGCTTCATAAGCAGCCTCTCTTAGAAACCGGAAAATGAAACAAGACATATTTCTGGGGTTGTCAGCAGGTAGATCCACTGGTTTTGTGGTAAGTAATCTCTCTGGGAGGAAGTCTTTGCTCTGATGTCTGTGTTGCATGTTCTGTGGTTCCCCCCAGCTGCACCAGTGCCGGGCTGTTCACTGGGAGAGGAGGCAGTGATGATATTGCTTCTAACAACCAGACGGAAGTGTAGCCGGAGGCGATCTTCCAAAGCCCCCTCCAAACAGCCTCTAATTAATTTTTATCCTGCCACTCCAATGAGTCCCAAGAGTGCAGCAACCAAAACAACAAAAAAAAGCCCCTCATCAAGTCATTCAGAAAAGCTTTGACGATAACACTTCAAGATTTTAGACTTCCAACCAGAAAATGGCGCAGGAGCTTTTAAATCTGATTTTCTTCCCATTTGTTTTCTTTCTTTTCTTTTCTTTTCTTTTCTTTTCTTTTCTGGTGGTTGTAAAGTAACACCATACCTCTGGCTAACAAGATATTGCCCTTTCCTTTGTAGGCACCTGGAAGTTCGTTGCAAAGGGCACGCTGAGAATTACGCTACAAATCACCATGACCAAGGATGAAAAGAGTCCCCTCCAGAGCTGGGCTCAGCACCTCTGCGATGTCCTCCTTTGCATTCAGCCACAGGCCTCTCTCTCCGAGGGGAAGCGGTGCTGGGGAGAGGTGGAAACAGAAGCCAGGAACCACAGAGAGGGATTCTGGTATCAAACATTCAACCTTCTGACCTCCGTCTTTGGACCCTTGGCTGGCAACAGCGTATGTGAATTATCTAGATGTCAGACACAGGAACAGTTTTCTGAATTCATTAAAAAGGTCTGCTCAGGTTGTCACACTCTTTATTACGAAGGTTGATCATGCTTATCCTCTCTTTGTCTGGCAACAGTGTTGATTTAGTTGGCAGAAAAGCTGGGTGAACACTGCAGACAGACTTCTGCGAATACTGGCTTGGATTGAGCAGTGAAGGTGCTTTGTCATGCTCATACCCGCTCTGTGTTTACTTTTTGCCAATTATTTATGCAATTGGATTGTACCGGCACAAATTTCAGGACTGCTAGCATAAACGTTTGCAAAAATTGAATTTTAAACGTATACATGGGGAGGAGACAAAGGAGCTGACAAGGCTGATGGCACTGACAGAACGCAGAGGGAAACGTGAATGGAGACCATTGTAGCGATGGAGACGGGAGATGAATGACGGGGACTTTACGGCAAGGACATGAAACCTTAATTTTCTGCAGAGAGGCAGGGGGAGTTAGCAGGGGGCTTGAGATGGCATGATAGCTTGGCAGGGAAGAAAGATAATTTTGTCAAAGATATTTGGACTGATTGGAGGACAAGTGGACGGTCAAGGAACCGGGGAGGAGATGGCTGTATGTTGCTGTGGACAGGCACACAGTGCACAGGCCAAGTCCAGACTTGTGCACGTGTACACGGTGACATACAGCCATCTCCTCCCCAGCTCCTTGACCGTCCACTTTGTCCTCCGATCAGTCCAAATATCTTCTGACAAAATTATCTTTCTTCCCTGCCATGCTATCAAGCCGCTGTTTCAAGCCCCCTGCTAACATATCTGTTCTTAATAAAAACTAAACCACCCCCCTCCTTCCCCCCCCCAAAAAGCAGAAAGATGCTGTAACACCACATCTTCTTCACCAGACATCCTCTGCTCTGGGGCTCCTGGATCTTCCACCCCTTTCTTTTCCTGTTCCAAGTCTTGTGTCCCTAGATTAGGCCAGCAATGACAAGCTCCTATCCCAAGAGCCAAAATAAATTTGCACTTTGATCTGTATGTCAAGGATACCAACTTCTGGGGAAAGTCAACATGCGGAAATGTCAAACTGAATTAAAAATATTGGAGGCTTCTGCTTTTATAGACTATTCATGGGTTGTTTCATTGGAATAAACTATTCCCAAATAATTATCTTTGATCCCACTCTCTGAATCCGAGCAGTCAGCACTGCCTTGCACTTCATCAAGAAATGCCCTCCGCTATCTTACCCCAGGCATTCCTAGGACAGGGACGTAGTCCGCTCGGGACGAGCACGCGCTTCGGGAGGCAGAGGCTGTCCCTGGTGAGAGGTGGAAGCCGGAGCAGGGCAAGAGAGATGCCAATCTGGTGCCATCCTGGCTGCCCTGGACATTATATCGCCTCTGGTGTGAACACAGCTCCTCTCCAGGGACACACAGATGAAGCGCTCCACCTCTACAGCCTCAGGAGACGGTAGAGACAAAGCAGGAGATCCTGCGAGCCGGGCCAGCTAGCAAGAGTACTGTGTCCTGCCAGGATTTACCAGTCCCAGACCAGGCTGTGTGGGCTCTATTTGTCTATTTTTCATTCTGAGCTTTGGACGCCTGTCTTTGTTTCTTCTGAGTGCTCCAAATTCAGTCCCAGGAAGTCCCTTCACTGGTAGCCTCACCGTCCTTGCCTTCTTCCATGCCCCTCTTCCCTCGTTTTCTTTCCTCATTGCACTCAATGTCCATCTTTGCCTTCTTTTACTGTTGCATCTATTATCTTTCTCATTCCTATCATTCCTCAACATCCTGCCCGTGATAAATATATATATACATAAAACCACAAAGTCCAAATATGGAGTTAAGCTTCTCCCTGCTTTCTCCCATGCTGACCCCCCCTGAACACATCTAAATCTCTCCTAAAAATCCACTTCTATTATCTTGTCTAAGCGATCAAGCTGATGTTAGCCCAGGATGTGGCTAGGTATCACCCTGACCGCTCTATCTACATACTAGACACAAAAAACTACATAAAAGGACATTAACTTGCAAAGTCAAAAAGTACCCAAGGGATAGCAAATGCCAGAAGTGAGGATCCCTATACATCCGTAATTTGCTCCCCTTGTGCATACATATCACGGCAGTGGCTAATTACACGGTCACCCAGTCTTTGTTCTCCATGGACCCCACCTCATTCACTACAGAAGGGATGGGTGCTTGCTCACCCTAGCAAAGCGGCTAGTGTTCACTTTGGATTCAGATTCAGCTGATTCAGGGGACAGTGATTCGATCTGGTGATTCGAATCACTGTCCCGATTCGATTCGGGCAAATCTGATTCGGAGACTGGGCTGCTGCTGAATCTCCAAATCAGCCAGGCCAGGCCCATCTCCTGCCCCTCTCCCAGTCTGGCAATGGCTGCCCCCCCTGCCCCAGCTCCTGGCACTTGGGCAAAAAAACCCCGGTGCCCACCTGGTGCTGCCAGGTGGGGGGCGATCCCTGCTGCCCCCCACTGCCCCATGCTGCATGGGGGGCTCTGCATGAGCCCCCTGACCCCCTCCCACTCCTTCAGCACCCCCATGGCTGCCCTGCCTGCCCCAGCTCTGGCCCTTTAAGAAAAAAAAATGAAAAAAATCCTCAGAACTCAC